ATCAGGGGAGCATGACAATAGAGAAGGTATTCACGGAAATTTGAAAATTCAAAATTTTTGAAAAAGTATCAGGAGAGCATTACAATTGAGGAGGTATTCACGGAAATTTGAAAATTCAAAATTTTTGAAAAAGTATCGGGAAAGCATGACAATTGAGGAGGTGTTCACCGAAATTGAAAAATTTTAAATTTTTGAAAAAATATCAGGGGAGCATGACAATAGAGAAAGTATTCACGGAAATGTGAAAATTCAAAATTTTTGAAAAAGTATCAGGAGAGCATTACAATTGAGGAGGTGTTCACTGAAATTGAAAAATTCAAAATTTTTAATTTCAGTGTATACCAATTTCGTAAAGCAGAAAATGACCTTCACCCCTAGTTACCGAGCCAGCTAAGGTATGATGGAATTTTTACCCAGTATTGACTATTTTTTCATAAATCAAGTAATTAACGTGAAACTCTTTCCACGTCACCCAAGAGGTAGAGTCCTTGACGCGTTTTTTTTAACGTGGTATCCCCTATAGGCCTAATCCACTAAGTTAATGAATGGGAAATTGTTATGATTTGAAAACCTGGAATCAAAAAAGAACCATGACATTTATTAATAATAAATAATAATGAATTAATAATAAATTCATCAATTTCTATGGATATTCCAGTTGCATTGTCGATGTTGAATCATCTCAGCAACACTGATTTGGGAGAAATATTGAACGATGATGGAAGATTCGAGGAAGTTGTCAATGACATAAAACAGGCGAATTATTTAATCGATGACAATAAATGGATAATGAGGCGGTTGTCTCATTATTTTCTTGTCTTATTATTAGATATGCGACTTACTAACTTTTCGTGAGGTTTCCTAGTTTAAAGAATTGGAATCTGAAAAGGAAGTAATTATTTAAACAATTATATAAACAATTATCAAATCATAATTGTGATTTTTATTTGTATTCTCCTTCGTGTCCTGAAAATAGCTGAGAAATTCTTATCGGGAGATACAGAAGTCGATGAATTCCTGGATCAATTCTTGACCCGAAGAAAGATAATGCATTTACGAAAGATGAAGGTAGACAAAATGCGAGAGCTTGAGAGGAAACCGAAATCGTCAACAGGGGGTTATCCAGCAGTGAACACCTTTCGCCGCCCAAGCCTTCTTAAATCTATTTCCATAATGTGGATCGAAATAATTCCCACGATAGCCCTCATCTCAGACAACAAGACAAAAGACTACATCGTAGGCTTCACGGACCTCGGAAATTGCGACGATTTTTCC